CCTCGTTGAGGCTGGTGATGAACGTGGTCTTCCACTCCTTGGTGTCGATGAGCGCGACCTCGTCGGGGAACTTCATGCTGTGCACAAGGCCAATGAGGGAGTTGGTGCCAGGCACGAGCGAAATGGCGTGGGTGGCGGCCTCGTGGGTGCGGGCAGCGATCTTGCCAGTGGCAGTGTCGACCGTGTACACCTTCATGCGCGCATTGTCCTGGACCGTCGTGGCGAGCACGGTGTCGGAGATGTAGACGAGCGACTCGGGGCTGCGATCCCACTTCTTGCCAAGGATCGTAGTCTTCTTCTTGGTCAGATCGTAGACGGCAACCTTGTTGATGTCGGACTCGTATCCGGGAGTCTGTCCACCAATGCATGCCCGCACGCATTCATGGCAAGCGCACACGGTCAGATCAGGCCTGGACCAACGGTGGAAGCATTGATGGATGCACATCCATCCAGCATGAGCCCACCTTCATCTGGAGCCAAGCGACCGACTTTCCGTCGGGAGAGAAGAGCGGGAGGGCATCCGCGCCAAGGTTGTTCTGCGAGATGGGGATGGGAGGGTAGGTGGCGTCGGTGCGGACAAGGTAGATGTCGATGTTGGTGTTCCAGGCAGCCTTGTGCTCTGGGACGCGAGACGCGAAGGCGATGACGTTGCCGTCGGGGCTGATGTCGTAGGAGGTGGCATCGCCGAACGGAGCAATCTGATTGTGCCAGTCAAGTGACAAGCACAGGGCGGGTCAGTTGGGCACGACGCATCACGAGAGAGCCTCGGAATGAGCCCGATGCAAGATCGCAGCGATGGCACGGCAGTGCAGTGCCAGGAGCAGCAGAGCCAGGAGCAGCAGAGCCAGGAGCAGTGCAAGGAGCAGTGGGCTCATGCGAAAGCACAGGGCACGCACCGGCGTCTCGAGATCAGGCGTGTCGACAAAGAGATCGAGCAGGTCGCCGTCGACGGCCACGGTGCCCGCCTCGGTGTCGACGGCCAGGCGGGTCACAAAGAGGTGGCTGCGCGAGGCCGGGTCGAGGTACTTGTCCCAGTGGCGGACAAACAGCTTGTCTGCGTGGGCGTGGGCGTGGGCGGGGATGCAAGCCGCACAGGAGCGGAGGCGGAGTGTGGGCGGGTCAGCGCAGCCTCGGATGGGCGGACTTGGACGACGGCCGGCCACTCACCGTACACGACGCCCGAGGCGAACTTGGGCTTGGGCTTGATGGCGACGGTCGAGGTGAAGGCAAGGACGCCGGACGAGGCGGGCAGCGGCCTGAACTTGGCCGACGAGATGCCGGCGGTCAGCGTGGTGAGCTGCACAAACTCGACGGCGGAGCCGTTGTGGATGTTGGCCAGGTTGGCGTAGCAGATCTGCGACACGCCGTTGCGCGGGCAGCGGATGGCGAGCAGGTTGTCGGCCAGCCAGAACGGGTCGGAGCCGAGGCCGGTGCCGAGGGCGAACGGCGGCAGCGGGTTGGGCGAGTTGAGGTGCGACAGGTACAGCGTCGACACGGTCGAGTCGGTGGCGACCGAGTACTGCGACGCCGAGAACACGGCGACGCGGCCGCTGGGCGACGGCACGGGCGTCGTCAGCCGGTGCATCGACACAAGGTCCTGTGCGGTGGGCCGGCGGGGGTCAGCAGCGGCTGGTGCACACGCAGAGGCAGACGCAGGGCACTACGGGCAAACGGCGCACCTCGGCCCGCATGGGGCGGCCGTCGGTCTGCGGCTTGGCGCCAGCGGCGGTAGCAGCAGCAGCAGCAGCAGCAGCGAGCAGTGCAACGATCTTGAGCGTCATGACCGGAACACGGGTTGAAGCAAAGCCGGAAAGCACCGGCTTTTATGGCGAGTGCGCCAAGGCGAGCGGCAGGTGCTACAGCAGCAGATCTGCATCTGTGTGAGTGTCAGTACGATCGTGCCGGTTGGTGCATCCAGCCAGGCAGGCATGCAGCCATGCATCCAGCCAGCCATACATCCAGACGGCAGCAGTCGCCATACAGCCAGCCAGACGGCCGCAGTCGCCTTTTCTTTTTTGTTGTGGTTTTCGACGCAACCACCACCAAGTGATGGGCAAGTCAAAGCGAGCCAAGGTCGACAACGACGACAGCGACGTCGCCATGCCTGCCGCCGCACAGGCCGCATCCAACCCGTACCTTGCGCACATGCAGCCGCCCGCCGCCGCCGCATCGGCCGCCAGCACCGGCGCGCTCGTGCCCGGCCAGACGACCGTCGAGCAGGCCGAGGCGCTCGAGAACGGGCCCACGAACCCGTACACCGGCCGGCCGTTCTCGAACGAGTACCGCAAGATTCTGGCCCAGCGCAAGAACCTGCCCGTCCACAAGCAGCGGGCAGAGTTCCTCGACCTCATCCACAAGAACCAGACGCTCGTGCTGGTCGGCGAGACCGGCTCCGGCAAGACCACCCAGTACGTTCATCGCTGCTCTTGGGCGGTCTGTCTGTTTGGCATGACTAACATGACCTGCCCTCGCCTTGGCTCGCCTTGGCTTGGCTGACGGTGCGTGCCTCTGCAGGATCCCACAGTTCCTCGTCTTTGACGAGCAGCCGCAGCAAAAGGGCATGCTCATTGCCTGCACCCAGCCGCGCAGAGTCGCCGCCATGTCCGTTGCGAAGCGTGTGGCCGACGAGATGGACGTGTCGCTTGGAAACGAGGTCGGCTACTCGATCCGTTTCGAGGACTGCACCTCCAAGAGCACCATGCTCAAGTACATGACGGACGGTATGCTTCTGCGCGAGGCCATGATGGACCCGCTCCTGTCGCGCTACTCGGCCGTCATTCTCGACGAAGCCCACGAGCGCACGCTGTCCACCGATATCCTGATGGGTCTGCTCAAGGGCGTAAGTCCCTGCTGCCACTTTCTCCCGCCTTGGCTCTGGCTCCATGCCCGAGTGCTGACCGATCACCTGCTGCGCAGATCTGCCAAAGACGCCCCGACCTCAAGCTTATCGTCATGAGTGCCACCCTCGACGCTGGCAAATTCCAGCAGTACTTTAACAACGCGCCGCTCATGGTATGCCGTCATGCACGATGCTTTTCGCTGCACAGCCGCTGACCTTTTTCCCACGCTTGCCTGGATACAGGTTGTTCCCGGCCGCACCTTCCCTGTCGAGATCTACTACACACCCCAGCCAGAGCCCGACTACCTCGAGGCTGCCATCCGCACTGTGCTCCAGATCCACGCCTGCGAAGACCCCGGCGACATTCTTGTCTTCCTGACCGGTGAAGAGGAGATTGAGGAGGCTTGCCGCAAGATTCAGGGAGAGGCCGACGGCTACGCTGCTGCCGATCCCACAAAGATTGGCGATCTCAAGGTCGTACCGCTGTACTCGACGCTGCCGCCCAACATGCAGCAGCGCATTTTCGACGCTCCTCCTCCTGCTCGTGCCGGCCGTCCCGCCGGCCGCAAGGTTGTCGTGTCCACCAACATTGCCGAAACCTCGCTCACCATCGACGGCATTGTCTATGTCATCGATCCTGGCTTCTCCAAGCAAAAGGTGTACAACCCTCGTGTCCGTGTCGAGTCGCTGCTTGTCAGTCCCATTTCCAAGGCTAGTGCCCAGCAGCGTGCTGGTCGTGCCGGTCGTACGCGTCCGGGCAAGTGCTTCCGCCTGTACATGGAAAAGGCGTTTGTGAACGACCTGCAGGAGCAGACATACCCCGAGATTCTGCGCAGCAACCTGAGCTCAGTCGTGCTGCAGCTCAAGAAGCTTGGAGTCGACGATCTCGTGCACTTTGACTTTATGGACCCTCCCGGTAGGTGGATGTCTGCTGATCTGCCCGACATCTGCAATCACTTGGAGCTCCTGCTGATTCGTCTTGGCATGCTGTCTTTTCCCAGCACCCGAAACCATGATGCGTGCCCTCGAGGCTCTCAACTACCTTGGCGCTCTCGACGACGACGGCGAGCTCACCGACCTCGGATCCAAGATGTCCGACTTCCCTCTTGACCCGCTCATGGCCAAGTCCATTCTGAGCTCTCCCAAGTACAAGTGCGCCGACGAAATGCTCACGATCGTGGCCATGCTTTCGGTCCCGACTCCGTTTGTGCGTCCAAACAACCAGCGCAAGCAGGCCGACGCCGCCAAGGCCGAGTTTGACCACTCGCAAGGCGACCATATGACGCTCCTCAACGTCTTCAACGCGTACATGTCCAACGACGGAGACTCGACGTGGTGCTACAACAACTACCTCAATGCCCGCTCGCTCGCATCCGCGGTCAACGTTCGCAAGCAACTCCAGCGTCTGGTGGAGCGCATGGGCGTTGTCATGGGCGATTCCAACAAGCCCACGCACCCAGACTACGACAGAAACATCCGCAAGGCGCTCACAGCCGGATACTTTATGCACGTTGCGCACCTCGAGCGCGGCGGCCTCTACTTTACGAGCAAGGACAACCAGGTCGTGCAGCTGCACCCGTCGACGTGCCTGTCCAACAAGCCCGAGTGGGTCGTCTACAACGAGTACGTGCTCACAAAGAAGAACTACATCCGGACGTGTACAACCATCTCGCCCGAGTGGCTCCTCGAGCTTGCGCCGGACTACTACGATCTGAGCAACTACCCCGAGTCGGAAGCCAAGCGTGTTCTGCAGCGCCTGCTGCTCAAGAACCAGAAGAGCAAGAGCAGCTCCAAGCGGAAGTGATTTGAATGAATGCGACTGTCCAAGTGATGCCAAAGTTCATTCCAAGAAGATTCCCAGTCCCCAAGACACTAGATGCCATACCCTTTCGAGCTTAAGGCCGTGCGTAGATCCCTCAGTTATGTCATCCCCCTGGTCCGACACGTCCATGGTGATGTATCCATTAAGTACGCTGGAACACACCATGGGCCGCCTGAAGAAATGCGCACATTCGCGAGGCGAGCGGACGCAACTGGAGAGAGCCTGAGCATGGCAGACGCAGAGCCAGTGCGCAGCGGGCAGAGTGTGTGGCGTGGTTGGCAAAAGGAGAGCGAACAGAGTGGCTGTTGAGGATGGCGGGGTAGCCGGGCAAAAAGAAGTTGCTCCGAGTGAGGCTTGAACTCACGACCTCGAGATTATGAGACTCACGCGCTACCGACTGCGCCATCGAAGCTCCTTCTTGTTTGACTTTTCGCCAATGTTATACAAATATTTTTATTTTTGATATCGACGCAAACGGCCAAATGCACACTTACCTTCGCCAACAAGGCTAGCCGTCAAGAATCACTTTTGAGATGAAATTGAACATGTGAAACAGACCCTGTACTCTCCCAATAGACAGGCTGCTTTCGGCCCAGATCTCAGACAGGATCAAAGTCTGGATCGCGACTGACGCTGGCTGTCTTCTGCATCTGGAACGCAGTGTAGATGGCAGCAGTGTCGCACTTGCTGGCAGACTTGAGCGTGACAGCCAGGCCGCATGCCTTGAGGCTGAGCTTGTTGGACGGGTCGCCGTCGGGCAGGCCGGGCGTGGCCAGTATCAGACGCGTCCACCAACGGGTGCTGGCTTTGCAGGGCAGAGCAGGCCAAGTGCCGACTTCAGCTTGGGCGTCTTGAGGCAAAGAACACTTGGCTGATGGCTGTTGATCAGTGTGTCGTATGTCTCGACAGCCAGAGCTGCGACGTCCACTGACTGCGCGCTCTTCTTGGCACGAAGTGGACGTCTTGGTTGCATGAATGGACAGCTGGTGATGGATGAATAGATGTATTGGGAGTGCTGGATGTTCAGGATCTGCAGGGTATGGACAGAGAGCGAGAGATGCAGCGTGTCTTGGATGCAGATCAGAGGCGACACAGGGCCATCGGTGCAGACGGTGCAGGATTCATCTGAGCGAGTTCGAGCGAGCTGGTGCGTTTGCTGATCGTGTTGGAGCCATGTGCAGGCGACAGCGTGCTGCCAGACGAGGTGGATGCCGATGTGGCACTTGGCTTTGGTGCAGCAGCCGAGCGAGCAGTGACGGGAGGGAAGCCAGCCGAAGCGAGTGCAGATGCGTGGACGTTGTCATGGATCATGTTTGGATGCAGAGAGCGTTGGTTGTTGGCTGTTGGCTGTTGATGCTGAGCAAGCGAGATAGGGACAGCCGATGGCTTTTATAGGCAGCTGGTGCAGACAGACAGACAGACAGCCTGTGTGGTGCAGCATCTGCTTGGCCACTTGATGACGATGGCTTGGCACAGATCGAGCTGGCGACGGCTGATTGGCTGCTGAGGCGGCATTGCCACTTGGACAGGAAACGTGTCTGTGCGTGGCGGCTACCGTTGTCGACTGAGTGAGACTGAGCGAGGCTGTCCAAGCCTACCTTGGTTGTGGATGCCAGCCAGTGCTGTGCCGCCCACCGATCGCCCGCCCCACTCGCCTTGCTGTCTTGCCGAGAGCGGCAGTCAGCACAAGCCAGCCAGCCAGCCAGCCACGATCCGAAGCGCATCTTGGACCAGCAACAACAAACAGCGGCGGGAACAGCAACAGCCTGCATGCCACAGCCAGCTGCTGCCAGCTGCTGCCACCACGTCCTGCCAGTCTGCATACGCCTGCCACTCCCACTCCCAACCGACACTTATCCGCCAGCTGTCCAACACTCGCCCCTGACAGCCATGTACCCACCATCCCTCCCATCCCTCCCACCAACAGCCAGCAGCCAGCAGTCTTGCCAAGCAGCTCTCCATATGCCCAGCCACTCCAGCCCGCCTTGCTCCACAGCGCAGCAGCCCTGCAGTGCCAGACAGGCGTCAGTCGATCGCTAATGCCGCACAGTCTGCGCAACCAACAGCAGCCAGTTGCTGCCCCCAAGAGGCTGGTGTTGGTCCCTCGGACTGTGCGAGCCACGGGACTCTTGGCTCTCTGTCCACTTGACCTGGAATGGCTTGGAGTGGCTTGACTCTCTTGTCCACTTGACGTGGCTTGTGTGCGAGTGGTTTGGATGGCCAGATGCATGCGTCTGTCTGTCCCGTGTGAACGCTTGCAGTCGAGTGGCTGCTTGATCGTCGCTGTTGGACTGCACTGGACTGCACTGGATCGTCGAGTGCTGCTGACTTGCTCTTGCCGTGCTGTGAGCTGTGACAGAGAGCGTCCTGTTGTGCTGCACTCGCTTGGTCGCCCCGCTTGGTCAGTCGCGTCCGTGTCCGCGTGCAGACTGTGCGTGTCTCGCATTCATGTGTGCTGTCCATCTCACGGCACCAACAGCAGCAGCAACAAAGCCTGCGAGGCCGAGTCAGCCAAGTGTGCGGCCAGTTGCAGGCGTGCGATGTTCTTCCACTGGTGCTTGATGCCACGGCCGCCAGTGTGCCCTCCTCGCTCCCGCCCTCTCGCCCCGCACACGCTGCCCATGCACGAGACAGCCTTGATGGTGCTCGCAGTGGTTGTCGCGACAACGTCCATGGATCCATCCATCCAAAACGGGCTGGCTGGCTGGCTGGCTGGCTGGCTGCATCCAATGCTCTGCAGCAGTCAGGCACGCCAACGACTCGAGCAGCAGCATCCAACACTCGCCTCTGTCCCTGGCGTCTCTGTGCGGTGTCCATGAGATGTCCTTGCAGCCTGCCTCGTCGCTATCCGTCTCACACGCCATTGATGGACAGACTCGCTCTTTGCTCGTTGCAGGTCAACTGCGATGCATCTGCAAACACCAGGCACATTGCCATTCACAGACAGACGGATCGCTTGCAAGACTGCGAGCATCAGGCGAGATCACGTAGCTGCATCACAGCCCATGCTGAGCCACCGTCACAGCCCATGATGAGCCATCATCACAGCTCGCCAAATCCACAGCGCCGACTTGCGCTTCTGCCCAAGACTTTCATTTTGACAATCAAGCAGGCATCCATAACAACAATGCCAGCAACGACAGCACTTGGGCCACTCCCGCCGATCAGCTGCATCGCTTCGCACCGTACCGCTGGTACAAGCCCGCCACCGTCCGCCCACGCACCACTCTCGCCGTGGAAACCCCGCGAACGGACGCTTTTCTGCGAGACGTTCGAGACAAACTCCGTCAAAATGCGCTTCTCGAATGCATTGCAGCTGTAAGTGCCATGCGTCGGATGATGCGGGTCGCCAGTCTGCGGCTATGCTCAAGAGCGGCAGCAGCATCAGTATCAGCATGGCTGGCTCTTGCTGCTGTATCTTTCGCAGTTCCGGCTCTTCTTGCGTGTTGTTTTGTGGCTTGGCTGCAGCGTGTCGGGATGACCGGCCGTCTGGCTGACGGATTGGAAATGGCTATGGATCATGGTTTGGACAGGCACGACGCCACGCGAGCGAGCCGCCTCGCAGCGAGGCATCGGACAACGCGCCACAGTCATCGTGTGGCATGCGTCGACGGATTGCTTGCCATCTTGGCCATCAACACCACCAACGCCAGCATACTCGGTCTGCAGCTCATACATTCCATCACAAGCGTCAACGCCATTGACGACACCATCTGCAAGAGCGTGTTCATATCCTTCGTCGCGGGCAACCACGCCGTCGTCGCTTGTCTTGTCAAGACTGACAGCATCAACTGGATCGTCGCATTTTCAAAGCGAGATCATCAGTATCAGCAGCATCAGCAACACGGATGCTCACATAGAGGCCGGATTCGACGAGGCTACCAAGCCGGCTCAATTGAGTAACTCAACAGGTAGCCAACTTTTCGGCCTTGGGCTGAGCGGCGTGATGATGCCTGGTAGCCATACACGTGGCTCGTCTCTGGTAGCTCGTCACAAGCGTTCTTTCGACGAGTTTGATGACGGCGAGGGCAGAATAGAGAGACGGTCGCCACTGCGGAGCGTGCGACCAACACTTGGCCAGTCGCCGACGACTTACAGCCAAGAGCTGCAGCAATCAGTCACAGCACAGCAGCCCAGGCCCCAGCAAAGCCGACTACGGTTACTGCTGCTATACCAAATACTGCATCTGCAGCAAATGGAGCGATGTTGCTGCCCCACCACCCTCGTGGTCATCGACTTGATGCAGTCTGATTCCGAATCCCACTGCTCGTCGCCTTTCAGCTGCTCTGCCGTCGAGCTGTCTCCTCTTCAGCTGCCGTGACGACGCCTACACTTTTGGGCCCAGAATGCACGAGTGTGATGATTGAATGCGGCCCTTGCACACATCCACCAGTTCATGCTGCGTATCTTGTATGGTGTGTCGGATATGCATGATATGGATCCTTGTGATGTATTGGATATGCAGGTCATGGCAGACAGCCATAGCAGTGCGAATGCAGATTAGAAGAGACAGGTGGCTGTGGTGATGGGGTTGGAGGCAGAGTCAGAGTTGGGCTCAATGGTGGAGGCCAGGGTCGAGCCGAGCCGAGAGGAGCCAAGTTTGTCCGGCCGTTGCCATCCGGAGACATTGCCGAGCCGACGCTGCCGGTCACACGTCTGGCGGCATCTGACCCGCACCGACGACCCCGAGACTGAAAGGACCCTGAGCGGAGGTTCAGCGCACGGCTCAGCACTGGGCTCATGCATTGGCTCATGCATTGGCTCATGCACTGGCTCATGCTTGCGCCTGTGTCCCTCTCAGTCCCGTTCAGTCCCGTTCACTGCCTTTCAGTCTCGTCCGCGCTCTTTCAGTCTCGTCCAGCCCAGATCATTTCGCCGCCTTCAACGCAAACCTGACCTTCCTTGCTGCATGAACGAGGACCCGTGTTGAACCCCTGGACCCCTGCCACTGCGTGCACACTGCATAAAATGCCGGCCTTCTCGCCCCTCAACAGCCAGGCATCAGCACACCGACTCGCATCCAGTCCCAGTCATCATGCGCAACATCCTTATCGCTCTCCTGGCCCTTGTCGCAACAGTTGCTGCCGCTCCAGTCCCTACTGGCACAGACGATAGCGTCAAGCAGGTGGCCCCAGCACTCGCGAACGGCGGCGGTGGCAGCGGTGGTTTCCAGCTTCCCAAGGAGTCTGCTCTGAGCCAGACCGAGATCGCCGATGGACCAGCACTCGCCAACGGCGGCGGCGGCAGTGGTGGTTTCCAGCTTCCCAAGGAGTCCGCTCCGAGCCAGACCGAGATCGCTGATGGACCAGCACTCGCGAACGGCGGCGGTGGCAGCGGTGGTTTCCAGCTTCCCAAGGAGTCTGCTCCGAGCCGCACCGAGATCGCCGACGGACCAGCACTCGCCAACGGCGG